ATCTACTTAGTCATTAACTTTTTTTTAAACCTATTCATTGGGTTTTTGTTTTTTATATTCAGTTTATAGTTTTTTGTTGGTGTTTCATTTTACTTTATTATATATTTCCGTTACTAACTTCAATTTAGTCTGTTTTTGGTTGTCTTTAAACTATTAGTCATTGTAATTTGATTAATTTTTTTCTGTAATTTTTGTTGTTGTAAATTTTAACCTCCTTCAGTAGGTTGTTATGAGTTAATAAAATTGTTAAATTGTCATATGAATTGCCAATTCGAATAATATTTTAATCGGTATTTTAAATTGCTCTATCCATTGCTCTATTTTTTACTTCCATGTTCTATCTGCGTAATGTTTGTTATTCAATTAAAATCTCATTGAAGGTTGTTTCCAATGTCTTATTAGTCCTCGTTCAGACGAAATGGCGTCGTTACGTAAACACGCATGTTAGTTAGCTCCGTATATTGAGCTTGTATACAGCGGCTGTAGGCCGAATTACACTATTTAAAAGGTGCACGGTAGATAATATATGGTCCTAGAACATATCAGACTTAATCGTTCATCATGGGAAAAAGATCTTTGAAAGAAAAACGAAGTACAAGTTTTGCTTACGAATCGGAATTAGATCAGCTGTGTTTGGAGATTGAAATGCGATGAACAAAGAAAGCTCCGAAAAGTGGGAAGAAGTAAAAAAAAACAAGAAATTCTATGCTATTACAGTAGAACGAAAGACGTGAATCGTATCTTGTAATGTATTGAGTTAGCGTGTTTTTTTTTTATTAACACTTACACATTCCCCGGAGGGATTGGCAATGGTTACAAAAGTTTAAGAAGGAATAAAAGGTTACAAAACAGTAAATAGAAAAAAGAAAACAATCTAAGCTAATACATTACAGATAATAGCAAGTATAAAATTATGATACTACGATAGATAGAAAACAAAATGCAAAACTTAAATAGTGAAAGAAGGTTGTCACTGGGGTTGCTGTCTTATTTCAAAACACTTCTTTAGGTACCTTGCTACGGGGAGTGTTAGGCCACTGTTGTTTAGCAAGGCTATGAATTGTGTTTTGGTGGCAAATTTTTAAAGCTTTAGATTTTGGTTTTTGCCATTTCGAATAGGACATTTCTTTCGGGGGTATATCTTTTACATGACGTCATGAGGTGATACACATCTTCAGGTTGAATAATCTATTAGCAAGGGGTATTTCTTTGTGTCTGCCTGTCTCAATTTTCAAGTTATGGTCACTGAGGCGGAATTTAGTTAAATTTTCGCGCATCTCAATGTTTTTCAGGGTAACAAGGTATGTTTCGAAAGCAAAATTGTTTTTTAATTCTCTGTATGTTCTTAATTTATTTTTTTCATTTTGTTTTGATCGATTGTCATTATGTAATTCACTTTTCCAAGTTGATATGAATGATGTTTGTATATTTTTGTTGATTTGTCCTAATTGCCTTGCTGTTAGAATTTCATCGCTGTCGACCAGGTAAGACTGGTTGATGTTATTCAA